GTTTTTGGTATTTCAAACTAACTAACACTGGTTCATTCATAAATATTCTTTCTTCACTTATAAATTGTATATTATCTATATTCATAGATGTTAATGATAAACACCCTGAAAAACAATCATCTCCTATAAAACTAATTGACGATGGTATATTAATTGATTTTAATGATTTACATCCATTAAAACAATAATTTCCTAATTCATTAATTGATGAAGGTATATTAATTGATTTTAATGAATCACAATAACTAAGGCATTCATATCCAAGTGATTTAACTTCTGATGGTATTGTATTTCCATATGATTTTCTATCCGATTTTGTATATTCTATATTTTTACAGATATTTCCTTGTTCTTTTTCTTTTAAATATGTTGAATAATTTACTGTATACCATATCACTTGTTTAAATATTCTTCCATCTTTAAATATTTCATCATTATAATTATAAATATAAAATGTTTCAATATTAGGAAAGAGTTTTCTTGAATAATGATTTAATGGAATTGGATTAAAATGAAATCTTTCCATATTTCCTTGAAATCTTTTAACTCCCATTTCTAAATTAATAAAATCATTAATGTCATTAAAATACTTTGATGTTATCATTATTTCATTATATCCTAATTTCATTATTGATTTATTATTTATTAGTTGTTTTTATTAGTTCTTTTATTTTTATATTTTAATTTCTTCTTTTTTATTCTTTTATCATTCTATTTTTATTAATTGATATTTGTTATGAAAAACAATAAATAATAAGAAATAAAATAAAATGATAATTATTTTTATTTTTAATAAATTATAATTATTAATTATTTCATTTATTTTATATTTTATTCATTATTTATTTTATATTTTATTTTTATTTAATAATATAATAATAAAATATGACAAATGACATAAATATAATAATATTGGCTACGAAAAAAGGAAATGAAGAGAAAGAATGATATAAAAGAGTGAAATTAAGAAGTAGAAGAAGATGAAAAGAATAAAAGAAGAAAGTTGAGAATATAAAAAGAAAGAAGATAAAAATGAATAATTCAAAATGAGATAATAAATGATGAAAATAATGATGAAATAAATGATGTATTTTTTATTACATAAATTAGAAATATGAAATAAAAAGTGTTTAATTTATTGATGTAAATTATTTAACAATATTTTATTGATATAATTTATTTTATTCTTTTTTATTTTTATGATTTTTATTTATATGTATTATTTCTTTGTTTATTTTGGTCCTAGATTGAAATATTATTT